ACTAAACCTATTTTTTCAAACGTTTTACATCATAAAACTTTGCCAAACCCGGGCTCTATTCAATAACAATTTATTAGCAAACAACGCTCGCATATTTCATAACAGCCGACCGTTAAACGACTGAGCATCACGTACACCATTCTCTGCATATGCCTCGTAACTAGTCTTTTAAAAAAATATTGATGCGCGTTCCAATTTTCAAAAATCGAATGAAAAATCAGTGGACTACGGAACGAAACTGGCACGTGATATAGCAGGCAGTTTGGAGGTGTGCCAATAATGCCCGGCCCGTATTTCATACGCGGTGGATAATACGTTTGTTCGGAGCCCACTACATACTTGGTAATACGGCGCCTGAATTGATGGCTTGCATTATTAATTTTTGTAATAATTAAAAAATAATACGAGATTCATGTTTCTGGTAGATAAATTGTTGTCTGACCTAGTTCTTACGGCATTTTTCATGTAAAGCTAAAATTCGATTCCAATCTACAAATTAATATTGATAGCAAAAAACATAACCCTCCTTCTGGCGCAGTCGGGTAAAATCACACATGCACCACTATTGCTTGAAGAAAATAAATAAGATTCCGTTCAAAAAGTTTAGGAATCATACAGCAGTGGTAGAGTTGAGACAGCTAAAGTAGTTCACCAAAGAACTTTATCATAATTTACTCGTAGTCTTTACAAATCTTCATCATTTTTTCAAAACCTAATCATCTTTTCAAGCCTTGTTCCCTATATATTTAAGACGCTTATTCCGCCCGTAATAGCTTCAAGCACTGAGTGCGAGCTAATCTCAGGAACTGTTGCACCCATTGGTATGCAAATGGAATTTCGCAGTTACACCGTGCACTGACGAGGCTCATGTTTATGGAATTAGAACTGCTATTGAGAATGCAGCAAGGGATTTGATAAGATGTTTAGGTAAGTGGGTCTTTTACCTGAATATTTTGATAGTTAACTATTAAGGGCTGTGTGACCTTGGCCATTGAACTAGTAGCCACTGCCAACTAGCTGTTAAAATAAGTTATTTTTTGTAAATTTTAACCCTTAACTAGGCTCCGATTAAATAGTTCCCACGTCAATTTGAACATTATCAAGATACGGTTGAAAACCAATGACTTTTTTTTGAGCCTGGTTATGGGTATAAAAATTTGCAGGCAATGGTCGCAGTTGGACGCAAGTCAGTGTGTTTGCTGTTTGCTCTCTCTAATTATGTTGAAGTTATTTACATTAGGTATTTCGGACAATTTCAAAATCGGTCAAACTATGGTTTGTTTGTCGAATGCTTAGAAAGCAGGGTGTAAAATAAAAATATTTATGTTTAAAATAATTTAAAGCATACACAATTCTAAGATCATAAAGCCTTCAACATAAGTAAACGGTTGTTGCTAACCGACAGCTTTTCACATTATAAAACATGTGAACAGTAACCCACTTACACACGAAATAGTCCCATCAGTCTGTATAGGCCCAAAACAAAACACTACCAATTGCAGTATTTGCCTGAAGACAGACACAAAACAAAAGACGACTGCGCACCGATTAACCCTCCGTGTACGAGGTGACTAAAAGTTACGTCCCGTACCNGTCGGCGGGACTCAATATTTAAGCGAACTTTGAATGCCTATAAAATTATAACTACTGGGTATTTTTGAATGAAATAAAAACTAATGTATTTGTAAATGTAAAAGCTTAACTGTAACATAGGTTTCAAGTGATTTTGCATACCTAGTAACATTCTCAATTGATTTTGGATAGTTCATATTTTACGTGCTCGATTTAATTAAAGCCTTCGCTCTTTACAAGCTATAATAATAATTATTTTATCAAAATTCACACCTATTGTAATTAAATTTACTACTTTAAAAGTATTTTTGTACGATGGCTAGGAAATTCGTAGTGAGTCACGTTTGGTATTTTGACATTTTGTAAATAATAAAAGTCATAAATTATACGAAAATGAATATAAATGTTCAAAAGAGGAGCAAAGTGTATGTAAATTCAGAATCAGGCAGCCGTTATAGTAATGATTTAATTCATTTTGCGTACGCTGGAGAGTAAGTTAATAATAAAACCATATTCAGTGCTACTTTCACAACTCCTCCATGTTTTGTTTTTCATTTTATGTTTCCCGAATCAAATCATTATACATATTTGTTACAGGAAATGTATGAATTCTAGGAATTGTATACTATTCCTAGGAAATGTATACAATTCCGAAGCTATTTAGGAAATGTATAAAATATTGCTTCAGAGATTTTTTAAGACGCACATATCCTAGGAAATGTATACTTTTCCTAGGAATTTTATAGAATTCCAATATTGTATTAGGAAATTTATAAAACTAAGCGGCACAAGCGCGGTCGCGTGATCGGGTGCCCCTCGGTACGCATAAAATTTAATTTAGCCAAACCACATTGGCCGATAGGTACTTTTAACTCACAATTATTTGTATTGAATTTTATTCAATTGACAAAGCTAAAAATATATAAATTACACCAAAACTGTCAGATTTTTTTAAAAACTTTTTAACAACGTCCCGTACCAGGTGGGGTGTGTGACACCCACACGCACTTTAAAGGCATGTAACTCAGTTGGTAGTCACCGCTGGACTGATTTTGCAACGCTGATCGAAGCAGCAGTGTCATAATTCCAGCTACTGAGAATTTCAAATTCAGCACTTGCAAATTTTTAAAATTGTGGCTATTTTTAAAGGACTGGGGTGTGTCACACCCCACCTCGTACAGCGAGGGTTAAAGCGTCTGGGCCTTTGTGCGTGTTTAACCCTCAATTGGCGCGCCTAAGAAGTCACATAAGTCGGGTTGGGTGTTTAGCACTCCCAAATTAATAACATGAATCACGAAATTCATAAAAAATCTGACTTTTGTTTAGTAAATTGGAACTTATAAAAGTAACTTTAAAACTTCTCTATAATAATAAAAATAGAAAACAACTTTTTAACCAGGAAAAATAAATTAGGAATTCTAGTGTTCCTCGTTACAATTTTGGCAAACTACATTCTTATTTTGTCGTTGTACACGTTATTTAGGTATAGCACTAAAGTATTAAGTTTTTATAATGGCATTTTTTGTATAATTGCGATCGGGCTACTTACTTCAGACAAAAATAATTGAGCCAAAATATTTTTTTTTTCATAGAGGTTTTAGGAATTATAAATGATGTCTAAACCACAGATTAGAGAGTGTGCCTAAAGGTCAAAACCTGGGGTATCCTGCACCTCAAACATACAGTCGCGGAATGAAAAGGTTCGTCACCTTAGTGTCGGTTTTCGCTTGCACCAAAGAGTCAAACCTGCCAACATAACAGTGCAAGAAACAGTGCTGCTAACATTTAAATAAATATGACGTTTGCTGACGAATAAGGTTTTGCTTGTTTATTTTTCTATCCCATCAGCCCCCCTAGACAAAACGCACTTTTTGATCGAATCGAAAATCGAATACGTCAAAACTCCATACAAAAAAGGGGATTTTCGACCACTTTGCGACTGGTTTGCGATTATAATTTGCACTTTGTCTAGACCCACTGTTCAATGCAATGATGACATTGACCAATTGACAATAGTTTTTTTTTATTTAATAGACATAATAATGGCAGGTTGAACCAACAAGAAGGTTTTAGTTTATCAATCATAATAATCATCTTGACAAGATAAATCGTCAAACAACTTTGATCTGAATAATTTTGAACTTTACTGACGAACAGTTAAAGATTATTTTCTCTAATTTGAGATTATTCTGTAACATAGTTTCAAAAGGTAATATATGCTCGCGATTCGTTGAAGGAATCAATTTGAAAACTGACGAACCTTTTCATTCCGCGACTGTACATTCCGCGCTCAAATGTCTACAACCAAGCACCGTACGCAGAATTGTGTACGTAATACATTTTCACAAAGGTACATAAAAGACAAGCGCGCCCAACTAAGGGTTAAACACGGGACAAAAGACAAAATGTCAGACTTGCGCAACTGTTGGTCCTTGGGAGATGCTGACAGCCGCCTCCAGCCGAAAGATAAGCGGGTGACAAGTGGCAGTGCGCAGATTGTGTCTGTTGCTCATCACTAAAGGGTCTCGAAAAGTATTGTTTAGGCAGTTTAGGGTTAGCTTCAGCAGTTATTGATAATATTACCTTGTTGGTAGTTATACAGATAATTCGTTTATTTGGTTGAAGGTATTTACTTAGCAAATAAATACACGCATACAGAAAATAATGCAGATGCACAAACAATACTGCTTATTGTGTCCCTCTGACAAAAAGGCACCCGATCAGCACACATCGAAACCGCCAGGGGCATGTCTCGAAAATTAGTCTTCTTCTTTGCTTGGCCCATTCCCATTATGATTGATCATAAGTAAAAATAAACTATAGAGGTTCTCAATAAATAAGTAAATAGGTACAAAAATCTATCAGGAAGTTTTCAGCGTTTACTTTGTAGTAGTGAAATACATCCTTATCGTGTAGGCGAGGCATGCTTGTTACCTAATGCATTGAATTATGAATGCTGGTTAACATTATTGGGGCAATGCCAGGCCACAATGTTTACTATGTTCGCGATTTGACAGACATTGTTCTAAAATGTTGTTGAGGAATATTTATGAAAGAATCAGAATCAGAATCAGAATTTTATTTGCGTAAAGTCAGATTATGCTAAAACGATTTTACTTTGGTGTATAAGATAAGCTTGTGTTTACAAAAAAGCATTATAAATTCACCGAAAGATATTAAAACACTATATTTGAAGAGGAAAATGTACTCATAATTATGAAAGTTCAATTCCCTCAGTTATCGTTTATTAACTCACCTCTTCACCCTCCTCGGAGTATTCAAAACGAATTTCAAACTAAGGAGAACCCTCAATTTTCTTTATTACACGTATTTTCTTCAGAAAGTAATAAACGCTGACATTCCTTAATATAAAAATCAATTGACGGTTAATCAAAAAGTAATTACGTGGTAATTATAATTTAACTTACCTATGACGGCGTCGGCAAAGATTTCCCTGGAACAAAAAACAGGAGCTCATTAATTTGTCACAAATAACTTATAAAACTTGTAACTTAATGAAGGTAGGAAGAGTGAGCTCAGTTCCCGTTAAAATAATGACAGATTTATGATAAATGGCGGGAAAGAGCTTTATTTTGAGTATTTTGAGGTGGGTTTACTACATTTAGTTACATTATTGTCATTTAAATAAATCAAGAATATTCAATCTAAAAGTAATATTGGAAAACTCATAGAGTACTTAATTTGTCCTATTAAAAAATTATTATCAAGCATAAGCAAAATAAACATGTCAGAGAAAATACACGAAAGTCTATTTTGAACAAAGACGCGGTGCTGAAATACTAAGGTACGTACCTTTTTTTTTTTTTTTTTTTTTTTTTGGCAGCGTTAGGTCAAATCCGATAGTGGCGCACAGTGTTGTTCTGTGCGCTGTCCAAGCCTGGCACTCTTCCAGAGTGTGTTGCGCCGTGTCTTCGGTGCAGTCACAGTGGTGACAAGCAGCAGCTGTCTCACGACCGATGTCGTGCAGGTATTTACCGAAGCAGCCATGTCCGGTCAATACCTGCACCATGCGGTATGTGAGCGAACCACTGCTCCTCTCCACCCATTGTCGCAGGCAAGGCTGCAGGGCGGCGACTGTTCGGTGCCCAGCACTGGGCTCCTCTAGCCACTCTGCCCACTCCTCCAATATCAAGTTACGGGCCTCCTCTCGCCAGTACTCGATTTCACGAGGTGCCGGAGGGTTTCCACTGCGTCTGGCGGCAGCGGTACGGTGGTAAACTTCCGACTGCACCCTGGCTTCGAGCTCCCACGGGGGAGTGCCCGCGAGTGCACATACTGCCTCTCTTGAGGTTGTGCGGTAAGCCCGTGCAATCCTCTGCGCAACTGTCCGCTGTGGCCTCCTCAGCGCTGACGTGTTTTCGCGTCCTAAGGCATCAACCCAAATGGGGGCGCCGTACAGGGCCATTGATCTAACAACACCTGCAAACAGGCGCCGACACCCCGCTCGCGGACCACTCAGATTAGGCATCAACCTGCTTAAGGCTCCAGACGCCCTCACTAGTTTGGGTGCAAGAGCTTTGAAGTGGGCCTTAAAGTTCCACCGGCTGTCAAGAACCAATCCGAGGTACTTCATGGTACCCTCGACAGCGATGGAGACGCCTCCCACAACGATCTCCGACCCCACTGGAGGTCTCCTCCGTGGTCCATGGAAGCAAATGGCTTCCGACTTCTCTAAGGCCACCCTAAGCCCAAGACGCTGAATGCGACTGACAACATGCGCAACTCCAGCTGTCGCTACGATGGCCGCGTCCCTGTAGGTCTTTTCCTTTGCCGTGACTAGGGTATCGTCAGCATAACACACGACTCCTACACCACGCATTCTTAGGTCCCGGATGGCCCAGTCGTAGCCGATGTTCCACAAGAGCGGTCCTAACACCGACCCCTGCGGGACACCGCACGCCACGAGCCTCCTTCCCCAGCCGTCACACGTCGGGAACACCACTTCTCGTCCGTCAAGGTAAGCGGTTATGATTCGCCTGAGGTATTGAGGGACGTTATGGTGTTTCAGCGCCTCCTCAATACATTGATGGGGGATCGTGTTAAAAGCATTGGCGATATCTAAAGATACTGCGACTACGCATCCCCCTTGTGTCACTTCTCTTTCTGCCAGCTCTTTCACTTGCAGAATCGCATCTATGGTGGACCTGCCACGTCGAAAGCCAAACTGGTTATCTGCCAGATCCGGGCCTATCTCTTTGAGATGTTTATTGAGACGGGCAGCAATAACCCGCTCAAAGAGTTTTGCTGCCTCATCAAGAAGAACGATAGGCCTATAGGCTGATGGCGAGTCAACCGGGCGACCCTGTTTCCTGAGAAGGACGAGCTTTCCAATTTTCCATGTCCGAGGAAAAATCCCTTCCCGCAAACACGCTGTTAGTAGAGCGCGGAATCGTGGCTCTAATCCATTTTTCAAGGCCAGCACTAAGGCTTTTCCGGGAACCCCGTCTGGCCCGGGAGCAGTGTTTTTGGCTTGAAGCCGTAAGATCGCCGCCCCAAGTTCTCCCTCTGTTACGACGGGCGCCTCTTCCGTGCTGGATTCTACCGCACTGTATACAACCGGCGGTGTAAAATCCGGTCTGTCTGGAAACAGAGCCTCGACTACACTGCGTAGAAGGCCAGAATCCATTGTGGTGGTTATTGGGGGAGCCCAAGAGCGAAGCTTGCTCATGACGAGCTTGTAAGGTCTCCCCCACGGATCCTGGTTCAGGGTGGAGAGGAGCTCCTCCCAGGCAGCCTTTTTAGCCGCCCCTATTGCACCCCTTAGTTCCTTCTTGGCCTGCTGGTATTGCTCATAAAGAGGAGCATCCTGTGCCTCGTCTCTGCGCCGGCGTCTGCGGTGCCGAGAGTATCGACGCCTGGCCATAACGCAGTCCTCCCTCAAACGGGCCAGCTCCGGAGACCACCAGTGCACCGCTGTGCGGGATGGCAATGCCTTAACTCTGGGCATCGCCGAGTCGCACACATGCGACATGGCCTCCCGGAACCACTCGGCTTCCCTAGCCGGATCTACCAAATCGGGGCATCGTGCCCAGCTCTCGATCTCCGATGCCAGTATTAGGCTCTCCCTATCCAGCTTCTTGGTTGCCCATCTTGGACCGATCGCCTCAGGTGGAAGGTGGTTCAGGCTGCTCGGGGCAGGCTGGGTGGGGGAGATGTCGAAGCGCACATATCGGTGGTCCGACAGTGTCTCAACCCCTTCCAGCACCTCCCAGCTCTGGACTCGGCTCGCCAAGGCGGGACTCGCAAACGTGATGTCTACGACAGAGCCGCCCTGCATTCGCACACATGTCTCCACCGTTCCGCGGTTGATGATGACCAGATTGTTCGTGACCAACCACTCCTCTACAAATCGACCTCGAGCGTCAGTAAAACGTGATCCCCATGCTGTAGATTTTGCATTTAAGTCTCCAGCAATAATGATATTATGGGGGCGGCTCCACCCTGACAGCAAAACACTAACTTCCGCCATGAAGGCCTCAAACTCCGCAAGTGACTTATTGGGTGAAAAATATACGGCGACAATAAGTATGTCTCCGATCAACCCCGCTACGCATCCACGTCCTCTTCTGATGTTGCCGAAAGGCAGTGAGTTTGCCGATATATTCGTGATTATGACGGCCTTTTCTTCTATGTCCCCTGCCCAATCGTCACGATCATGGACGAGGTATGGCTCTGTGACTATACAGACCTGGGTTGACCACTGTGTGATGCTCTGATTAAGGAGGTCTTGAGCCCTAGCACAGTGATTGATATTCGCCTGAAGGAAGCGTACGGCCATTCTTATTCAGCGGTTTCCATCTCCTCCATTGTGCCTAGCTGGGGCGTGGGCTTAGCAGTTGGGGCCATGTTGGGCCCTCGTTTGCCCTTTCCGTCTCTGTTTCTTGGCGGGGAGCAGCTCTTACTCCCCACTTTGTGCTCTGAGGGAGCACCCGCCGCAGCACACAAGGGACAGTGTGGGGCTGCAGAACAGTCCCTACTCTGGTGACCGGGCTTTCCGCAGCGATAACAGAGACCGCTGCGATCAATCTCGGCTGTGCACGTAGCACTGACATGCCCCTTCTCCATACATCGGTAGCACCTCTGGGGCTTCGCTGGTAGAATTCTTACTTGGGCTGACACCCATCCAACAAGAAGCCGGCCCCGAGAGATCAGGTTGGCTACCGCTACCGGCACCTTTACTACGGTGGCCCAGGTCCCCATGAAAGTTTCGCGGATCGAACCTACACGGATGCTGTCTGTTGTACAGCTGCCCGCTTTGGCGATCGCATCCGCCACCTCTTCCTTCGTCACCGAGTCATCCAAGCCTGAAATCCGCACGTCCACGGTTCTGACTGGCCTGGAGATACGTATGTCGCTTTCTGGAAGCACCTCGCGAAGCTTTTCCGCGAGGGCGTCCGCTTTGCTCCCACTTGTTGCTCCTGGGACTTCAAGCAGCTTTGCCCCAGTTTTGGCCTTACGGAATCGAACACCAGAGATCCCTAGCTCTTCTATGTTAATCCGAGATTTTGCGTCTCGAATCAGAGTGTCATACGACGCACCTCTTTCTTCCGCTCCGGGTTGCAGTGTCAACATAATAGCTGCTGAACTCGGTGTGCGGAGTTTTGGGTTTGGCCTACTCTTTGGCTTCTGGCTCTGCTGCTGCTGATGTTGTTGCGATTGAGCATTACGCTTCCCACGCTTAACCACCGTTGTCCATCCTTCGTCCATCGACGCAGGAGGGGGTGGAAGCGGACGCGGTTCCTGTACGGGTTCCGGGGCCTGACGTATGGCTCCTCTTCTTTTCTTGCCCCTCCTTGTGGTTGGAATGGGCTCCCGGGGGACGAGTTCGGCCATTGTCACCGACGTGTTATTCGGTGACGCAGTTGCAGTCGCAGTCGCAGCCGTCCCTACCGCAGCCACTGAGGTTTTCCTGGGCGCAGGCTTAGGGGGAACGCCCTTCTGCTTGTGTGCTACTACTTTGGATGGTTTTGGGGCAGTCCTTGGAGCTGTTAAAGGTACCTCCGCTGGAGCCGTCATTACCGATTTGGATGGAAGGGGTGGGAAATCGTTGCCCTTCTTACGTCTGTCTGCCGCGAGTGGAGGCCGGAGGCGCTCTTCCGGCATGAGTCGGGGCTGCAGCGCCTCAATGCGCGCGTTTACCATGGTCCCAACTTGAACCATTATGTCACGGGTCAGTTCTTCCCGCTCCGGTTGAGTTTGCGTGAGAGTCGAAGTAGGATTGCTCTCGTTGCTTCGCTCTCTCAGGGCTTGAATTTCCTTACGGAGTTCCTCAAGCTCCTGTTTCATCATTTTGTTTGCAGCTGTTAGCTGCCTGATCTCATCATTTGGTGATGTCCTTTCTAAAAGTGCGGCAATAGCCCCCGCAATGTTGGTAGCGGACTCTTTAAATGTCCTTTTGAAAGGGCCCGATATGTTTTCGCACCT